TTGCGTGCGTGAAAAGCGCCCCGCCCCCTCCAAAGCTGCCTTGCCATAGCTCATGTTCGACACTTTTATTAATGTGTGCTTGTAACGCCTAACGCCAGAGCTGTCGGAATTCCATTCATAACATTTTATCAACCGCACACAAAGCAGGCACACTGTGGGCGGATGGGAGAGAAGAGTGTGCTCTATGTGTGCGTGCTTCCTGTGTCGTTGATAAGTCAGCCTACTTTAACGCCTGTTGACAGTTTTAATAAATGAAATGCGGCGACCATTTACCAACACTGGTTAGCACCGCATGAAGCAAACCGCAAAGGCTTGTGGTCGTTGCGGCAAGTAGCCTGTGGCATGTATGGGCCATGCAACTGGACTACAAATGGCTTTGTTTGCTTGTGACAACGGCCTCATTTAGAGCTAGTTAATTTGAGCTAGTTCCAGCTATGAATACGCTTTTTTTAAATGATTTGAAGGTTATCTATCTGAACATTTATAATTTTTTATAAACGCTGTTTCAGGTTTTCTTGATATATAACTTTTATGGCTAATCGTTGATATATAAGGCAATTCTTTTAAGTGTTTGTGAAGCCATTTAAACTTGATAGCTCGAATATGGAAAATTGTTTATTGCTTCTCATTCACTAGAAATCCAACTGCTGATAATAAATATTTATGCAGAGTTTTCATTTGAAGACAAATTGCTTAGCACATTAAAGAAAACAAGAATAACAACAAGCAGAAGAGCGACTGCTGTTGACATTGATATTACGCATACGCCAAGTCCGCTGGGGCTTAAATTTTATTTGGCGTTAATTGCAGAAATCATTTATACAAGTCGTTCAGTGTTGTTGCTGCTGTAGTTATATAATTTACATAGATATATATAAGCTGCCTCACAGCTGGCCAACCAAGTGTAAAGCAAAGCGTCAGGCTTGAGGCACAACTTGAATGTAGCTGTCAAACAATTGGAAAATCAGCGTGCAAACAGGCATGCAATTGAGAAAAAGACAGACTGACAGCGAGACAGACAGACAGTCAGACTAAGAGAATTGACACACAATGGAGCCAACCATTGGAAGCTTAGTAGATGATGGGCAAATAGCCCGGCGAAGTGCGACGACGACAATTGCAACTCTTCACGCACAAAGGCGGCGACAAAGTGAATTGGCAACATTTTCAATTAAAATGACAAAAGACGCGCACAAAAGTGGCAAGGACGAATAGGGCGACAAGCAGTGGGGGGGTGGGCGGCGTGGCTAACTGACAAAGACTGGAGTGCCTGCAAGCCATTGAGCCAAAAGGATTGTTTGCAATTGGCCAATGTCAACAATCAAATTTTTCATGTCTAAGCCGCTTACACCAACGTTTCTTATATGTCCATATATCAAAACTAATTGGGCGTGTCCTCTCCCCACCCCCGCCTCTGCCCCTGCTAATATAATAAATAATACAATTCATTTGAATAACCCTTGGACAAAGTTCCGTCAATACGCTTTGGTGAAATGCTTAATAAATTATGAGAAATTCATAAAAAAAAAACAACTATAAATATAAAATACAGGCGCGCCAAATTAGCCAACGCATAAATTTCTCGCTGGCATGCCATATCTATCGATTCGTTTAAATTTACGATCTTATCGGGGCAGGTGAAATATTCTGTCATAGTATACTACTATTGGAATGATTTATAGATATTTTGATAGAATTTTATATAAAGTAAAACTAAAAACAAAAAATGTTACTTAGTTTTGTTACTTTTATCTTTTACTATAACTATTATTTTGCATATTATTATTTTTACTAATATTATCATTAATATATAAAATAAATTAACATTTTAAACATTCTGCTTGTTGGTCTATTAAGAAGTTGTACAACTTTCCTTTCAAGTACTTTTTTATTTTCCTTTCTACTCCTAACAAAATTTTCACTTCATTTGGCTGCGCTGATAAAAATGGCTTTCATATTCTCAATTGCCGCATAAAATGTAATTTGCTAAAGCACGCGAAAAGCCAAATTCGCGTCTCTCTTTTTTGTTGCCCCGCCATAAAATTTAATAATGGTAATTCAAAGCAGACCTTGCTTTAGAGATTAGATCTATGCGCTTGTGATTCAATTGCACAGTTGCACAATAAATTAACTAATTGTGGCCTGTGGTGTGGCACGCTTTAAGAGCCATGCAATTTCCGCTGAAAAGTGTGCTATGATTTAAGCGCACCCAGGAATAGGATCGGAGGGTGCAGAAAAACAGCTGTCTGGGTCACAAAACTCAACTACGCCCTGGCAAGCAATTACCGTTTAGATATGCCCGGTCTATATAAGGGTATAAGAGGCAGACCACAGCAATAACGGCAAACAAGAAGCAGCAGAGAAAAGAAAAACTAGCCGAGCTGTAACTGAGACGTCCAGTCGAAGGGTGCGCTAAGGTCGCGGGGGGTGGGTGAGGAGCAGCCCTTAGAATATGCGTGACTGTCTGCCTTTACGTGTGTGTGTGTGTGTGTGTATGTGTGTGTGTGTGACAGAGTGAAAGTGAGCGTCAGAAGTGACACATAAAGCTCATAAATTGTCGCACACTCAATATGCATACAGGGAGGACAGACGCAATGACAGCGAGTGGGCAGGGGCAGGGGCCGGGGCAGGTGTGGGCTGTAAGTCGGTAAAATCAATAACGATTGCCACGTCGCTGGAAAATGACCCACATGCCCCCGCCCTTCTTCAGCCGAAGAAACATATATTTCCATATGCAAGAAATAAACAAGAACAATACACTCAAAGCAAAAATGAACAGAAAATGTGGCCAATTAAAAAAGAAATAAATAAGAAAACGAGATAGTAAATTCAAGTGTGATTTAAATAGAAAGAAGTGCGGAAAATTTAAATTATATTTAAGCTTAAGCTTTGAGTTAATAGAAGAAAAAGAAAGAAAATATAATTGCATGAAACCCAAAATACTTATTACTGTAATAATAATTGCAGACTTTAAAAAGTTTTTGAAATAAGTTTTTGTCAAGAGCTCAAGCTTAAGAAATGAGGAGCTTTTGTCGAGTTTTGATTTAAGCATAATACTTTCTTTTCTCTGAGTGTATCAATTGTATATGCTTTATGCCCTTGCCTGAACTCTTAAGCTGCAATTCATTTGAAATGCACTGCATAACCCAACTGCTGACCATGCCCATTGCCATTCCCAGTGGGAAATGAAGCGGGCGCAGTAAAAAAATGGCGCATAAATTTCGGAAAGCTGTCGAAAAAAGTCAGCAGCAGACGTCATGAGCAGGAGCGTAGTCAAAGGCAAAGGGGTTGGGCAATGCTATTAATAGCCGTTCAAAAAGGCCAAAAAAATAAGGATGCCAACGAGCTACATTGAAAGACATTTAATAGGAATTTTGATTCAAGAAGTGCGTCAGCCAAACGGAAAGAACTAAATTATGAATAAGCACTTCTTTATGGTGAGCCGTCAGAAGCTGAAGTTCGTATTTTATTGCGCATTCAGCTTGAACTAAAAATTCTATACATAAATAAATTCAACCTAACTTAAAATAACATGCATATAGCTTAACAGTGAGAATCAAAGGAGGAATATTTTATACAAAGTTATAAATATTTGGCTTATATATTATAATACATATTTTGTATTTTTATAACTCCTTGAATTTAAAACAGGGCTTCGCAACAATTAACTAACCTTATATGCATGATATGCCCAAATATTTAGTTTTAAGCCTCAGCTCTATCCCTTCTAACTTTTTGGCTGTCCGTCCGCCCATGAGGTCTGGGCCAATGCCTGAATTATACGCTTAAAGTATTTTAGAGTGTGCTGCGCCTGCCCTTGCCCCGCTGGTGCGTTGTTCCCTCAGCTTTTCTTTTATTCTGTTCCCAACGAACGCATTTGAAATATATTTTGTGGAAAAACAAATTCCATGCATGTCCGGCTCGAACTGGTTTTTCCGTTTGTGGCCTTTACATATTGCAGGCGGCCTTTTGGGCCAGGACGCAGGACCAATGGCAAACTAATTTCATGCACAAAATGTAATTTGCATGGGGAGTACCGCAACAACAACAACAACAACAACGACAACAAAAGAAGCAAAAGCCCATAAACATACGGTGCGCGGTACACTTTAGTGTTTTGGCCATTTTTGTTTGGCTGCTTTTGGCTATTTCGTGTCGAGCTATTTAAAATTGGTGTTGTATAATTTTTAATTTAGCCGCTAATTTATGCGGCGCCTCGCAGCACGTGTTCAGTTTATATCAGCAGGCATTCGGGTGGGGCAGTACTTACAGCAGGCACTGTTTAGCCAGACGTGGCCAACATATTTGTGTAAGTGCCGCTTTTAATTGACAGCCGGCGCTGGGCCTTTCGGCCATTCAGCCGGTTGGGCTGGGGTCAGCTCTTTTAGAGGTAGACAATTAGGCGTGTAGTCGAGGGTCCTTTGTAAATAGCTGACCCTAATTCATGAAGGCATTAAGAGCGTAACTAAAGTGAAAACAAGTGCTCGGAAGCAGCTAAAAGGCGGCCTGGAAGTGAAATAGAGGTGCCTGAGTGGGTGCATAAAACATTAATGCCAACTAGTTAGCTAATTGCGCTGCTTGATTGGGATTTAGCTGGAAACTAGTTGATTTAGGGCTGAATTCGAACATATTCTTATAAATGGAGGCAATCATGTCTTAAAATAGAATCTGGAAACTAAGATTTATTCCAATTATTATATTTTCTATGCACAGCTAAGTTTCTAGAAGCTGATACAAAATGTCTACGTCCTTGCATTTCTTGTTTCTTCTCCCTAATTTATAATATTCAGAATTTAGAAACTTTCGTGATCTCTTTGTTAAAAACTCTCAAACTAGCCTTAGTTAAAGCTCTTATCATTCGGTTTTCTAGCTAAGGTTCGGTTCAGGCTTAAGCTATTAGCTCAGCTGTAAATTAAAGAGAATTATATTTAAAGAGTACCATTCCCACCGTCACCCGTCACTCACCTTTAATTCTCACTCTCTCTCTCTCGCTCTGGCAGCATTCGCAGCAGTCGCGGCTCGCTTGATAGCATTGGGACCGCTGCCAACGGCAGCTCGGCGGCAAGCCAGGCCAGCTCCAGCGGCGGCTCCACCAGCAACAACAGCAACAATATCAACAACAACAATAACAATAACAACAACAATAACAGCAAAATGGATGGCAGTCCACATCATCGTCCGGGTTCACGAAATGGACGCGATAACTGGACCAAAATGCCAGAACCGCTCAACGGCCACAAGGGAGACAAATCGGAGAAGTCATCGCCGTCGCGTCGCAGCATGGGCGGCGGCAGCGGCAGCTCATCCAAGCAGGGCTCGCCCTCGTCCTCGTCGCGCACCAAGGGCGTGCCGCCCAGTTTTGGTTATGTGAAACGCGCCAATGGCAGCATCGCCTCGACGGCGGAGCAACAGAACATCGCCATGCTGATGGCTGTCGGCGGTGGCCAGGCCATGGTCAATGGCTTGCCCTGCGGACGCACCGCTCACGTGTCCGCAGTGCCGCGCACCGCCAGCGGCCGCAAGGTTACCGGCGGCACACAAACCCTACCCAATGATATGAACAGTAAGTTGTGATAAGTTATCATAATATATTTTATAAATTCTTTTTATTTCTGCTCCCTCTAGAGCTGCCACCGAATACGCAACATCGCAGCTTCTCGTTGACGGGCCCCACAGCGACGCAGCTGAGCCAGTCCATACGCGAGCGTTTGGCCACGGGTTCGCACAGCTTGCCCAAACCTGGCAGCGATATGCACGTATTCCAGCACAGGTAAGATAGATAGCTTAAGGGTTCCGTTCTGTCTGGCAGTCAGTTGATAAATCATTTAGTCTATTTATCAGTTTAATATTTAGTTTGTTAATTAGTCAAGCAGTCAATCGTTTAATCAAACAGTCAGTTAGTCAATCACTCAATCAGTTGATCAGTCTATTATTTAGGCTATCAGTCACTCAATCTGTCAGTTGGTCAGTTAAATAGTCAGGTCAGTCTTGTAATCAGTCAATAATTTAATAGTCAGTGGCTTTGTCATTCAATTAATCAGACTTCAATCAGTCAATTAGTCAGCCAGTCAAGTAGTCAATCATCTATTAAGTTAATCATGATTAATCATCTATTAAGTCAGTTGGTAAGTTATCACCGAACTGTTTATTTATTAATCAGTCAATATTTTAGTCAATCTACCAGTCAGTCAAAGGGTCAATCAAAATGTCAATCAATCAGGCATCGGTCAGTCAGTGCGTCAAATAGTCAGGAAGTCGTTTTGTGTCATTTAGTGGGTTAGTTTATTAGTCAGTCAATCAGTCAGTCAATGCATTCCCACAGTAGATACACAGCCAATCGACTAGTCGTTAATCAATCATAAAGTCACTTAACCAGTAAGTCCATCAGAAATTTATTTATAATATTCTTTTCTGAAACAGAATCTCTACGCGTGGAGGCGGGACTCGCCACGATGGGTCGCTATCTGATACGCAAACCTATGCTGAGGTCAAGCCCGAGTACAGCTCGTATGCCATGTGGCTGAAGCATAGTAATACGGCGGGCAGTCGCCTCTCCGACGGCGATGCCATTGATCAGCTGCAGATTGGTTCGCCCGCGATGACGCGTCATGGCCACAAAATGCTGCACAATCGGGCATCGGGCACAGTGGGGCAAATGCCCGTTCAGGGCAATGAATCGCCCTATGTGCAGAGTCCGCGCATGAATCGCAGCAATAGCATCAGGTGAGTGCAGCCTGAAAAATGTGAATGTGTTAGCAGCATGCCGTCTCTCTCTCTCTCTCTCTCCCCTTTATTTATCTCTTTTACTCTCTATCTTTCTTCCAACCTGAAATTTCTTGTACATTTTTTTCGTTTTACCTCTAAAAGCTATCTGAAAGAACGGACATATCCAAGGTGACTTTACCTCACAAATTGCTCACTTTTTGATATATACACATGAGCGTATGTTCGGGTGTGTGTGTGTGTGTGCCACGCCCATTACTAACGTTGCACTCGCAAGCAATCAGCTTCAGTTGCCACTTGTCGCGCTTGTCTCGCACTTTAAAAGCGTTTGCCGCTTGCAATTTACATTTACATGTTGCACACTTTGCAGCGTCGCCAAAAATGCAGATTCAGCATGAGTGTGTGTGTGTGTGTGTGTGTGTGTGTGTGTGTGTGTGTGTGTGTGTGTGTGTGTGTGTGTGTGTGTGTGCGTGTGGACGTGTCTTATAACATACGTCTGACTTTAGACGCTGTTTTCATTATGTGCTCATATGCCCTAAAGACAGACAGGGTATGTTGCCTTTACTTGATATACACTCAACAAAAATGTTTATGATTTTGATTCCATTGCATTCAATCTATAAAAACTTCTGTGTAGGAATTTCCAAAAATGCCTGAATGTAAACCTGTTTCTTTATGTAACACCCTATCTAAGAGGAATGAAAAATATATTTAAAGTTTGTAAAACAACCAGATAAGCTATTAAATACTTTTTTCTATCTCTATCAAAGACATCTTAGTAAAAAATGGTGTTTACCTGATTGCAAAATATTTTATTGAATATAAATCCTAAAAACATCCGAATACTTATCTAACATAAATAGAAAAAATAGTTAAGCAAGCAGATAAATTATTAAAAATTCTATCGTATAAATCTTGTTAAAAATAATGTTTACCAGATTTTCTTGATAGGCCCTACCTATTTATATATATTCTTAGCCCGACTTATGCAGCTTATCTGACTTTCTAGTGCAGATAAAAAAAGACAGATTTTTTTAAAATTCCCTTTGCCTGTCAGCTTATGCACACACTTACGCACCCACATGCGTGCGAGCGTGTGTAATGAGCTGTTTTTACAGCTGCGCGTCTGAAAGTATGCAAGCAATTTGCAATAGTTTAGTCTTTATAGGGTCGGAGCTTGACATATGTTTGCTGTTGCCATGTCTCGTGCATATTTTAAAGCTACAGTAAACCCCCTCGAAAAGCGAAAACCCGTGAGTTGACGGCACGCCCAAATAGTTAAAGGGAACTTTTTATAAAGGTGGAGTTGATAGGGAGCGAGCAATGGCAAACAGACAATGTGAAAGTTGTGTTTAACAGCAAAGTGGGCAAAAAAAAAAGGGAAAAAGAAAAAACGAACACGAAATGGAAAACGAAAAAGTGGGAATATGGACAGTTGGAAAGTTGCTGAGCGGGGTTGGGGGGGAGGATCTCGACGTATAAGTGTAAATAGCAGCGCCGAGCATTTGCCGCCGGTGGCTGGGTAAAGGGAATAGCGAGGTGCTGGCCAGATTATTATTTGACATGTCAATAGGTTTGTGAACCTTTGACTTGACGATGCAACAGCCACAGCTGAAATGAAGTTGCGCCTCGGGGCTGCCATTTTGGCGTTGTTGTTATTTTAACTTTATTCTGGCCACGTCAGCAATTCACAGTTAGCAGTTGCCGGTTGCCAGTTGCCAGTTGCCAGTTGGAAGTGGGCTATGCCCCTGCAGCCGAGTGTTGACTCTCAAGTGCTTCATTAAAAATTTTTAACAGCAAATGGTAAAAAAAAAAACCACATGCAGTAAAGGGCAGAGTGAACTATACGGATGTGTGACAGGTAAAAAGATTTTTCGGGCATTTTTTAAAACCTTTAAATAGCTTTAAGCTGAAAGTATCACAAAGGAAATTATATCAAACAGTTTTTTGCAATACGGAAGGTTAGTTAGTTTACCATCTGGATTTATGGGCCAAAATAGCACAGAGGGAAGTTTTTAGAGCGCAAGAGATTAAAAAAACGGTCCTAAGGGGAATTTATACTCTTTCTTAAAAGGCAATAATAAACAGAAAAAATTGTGAGCGCGCAATGCATTGTTAGTATGTAAATAAAACACAGGTGAACACACACCCAAACAAGTGTATGCAGGGGGCATCGCATGATATGTACCCGTGTGTATATGCCTATTTGTGAATTATCTACTTTGCTCTCACAAGTTATTCTTGCTGCTTATCTACCTAAATAGAACTTACTCTATTTTCTGAGCTCCGTATTTTGCTCCGCTTTGCGCTCGCGCAGCTTATACACACGTGCATAAAAAAATAGATTACTTTCAAGCGAACACACAACTAAACAAGTGTCTGCAGGGAAGACCGCCTAATATGTGCAGATGTGAATATTACATTAGCTAAAACTCGCTGTATGTTTGTTAGAATTTACCTTCTTCTAGTCAATATATTGCAATGTTTATATTCCATTATATTTTGTTAAAGTTTAAACGGCTACTGCGTAAGCCCCATTGACTACTGCGGTTCAATTAACACAGAATAAACTTCTGCAGACCGGCGCCCAGAATTTGAGTAAGCATACGATCCTAAAGAGAATTCGTGCAGAAGCATAATAAGTTTGTAGATAACGCAAGCGAACACACACCCGAACTCATGTAATCTCAAGATATGTATGTATGCAGAAGTGTCTGTGTATACGCATGCTTAAGCATTATCTACTTACACATCGCGCTCTCGCGACTTTTTGTGGCTGCTTGTTGATCAAAGCAAGCCTTGCTCAATTTTCTGAGCGCCGTTTTTTTTTTATCTGCCGTGCGCTCATACATCTCAGTTCTATTAAGCAATCACACACGTGCATAAATACCTAACATACAAGCAAACACATATAAGAGCACATATATATAACACACAGAGCGCCAAAGTCAACTTTCTCATGCTTTCGCTCTTTGTGTACACACACAAGTAATTCTTAGACTAATTTAAAAATCAAATCAATCGACAGCCGCCGAATATGTGCACCTGGTATTTAGAGATGGCACTTTACGTTTACTTTAAGACCTACCACGGCCAGAAGTACAGTAAAAAATTTAAAACGATAAACATATATATAGCTTTCTTTTTTTTACTGAATTAAAAAGGTTCATATATATTTTAAGATCCTACATATGTTCGTCATAAGGTCACTTTAAGTGCTGCACAAATATAACCCTGCACATTTAGCTTTCTTAATACTTACTAATTAGCAACCTGCGACTGTGCGGAGTCTTCAGCCTGCTTGAATGTGCAATTTAATTGGCATCGTGTGAGAGCGAGAACAAGACGGCGCTCAGAAAAAGTGCAAGTCTTGGAATAGGCAATCACAACAATTCATATGAGCTCGATGAGAATATAGATAATGCACGCGTATACACATGCCTCTTCGATTCTCTTTGCTTGTACCTGCTTATGTGTGTGCTTTCTTGAGCGACACCTACCTTTGCTAGTGTGTATTTTTTTATGAATCGCACTCACTCAAATTTTCGCTTATGCTCCAAGCAAGAACTTCGTTCGCCTGCTGTTTTTTCTGGGAGCCCATTGCTCTGTTAGCTAAACGCCAGTAGTAACGTGCACTGTGAAGCAGATCTAACATTTTGCACAGCCGGCAAGCTGTTGAGTGCTGTTGCCGATAGAATGTGACACATGCCGAATGTGCAGGCCTATGTATGAATAGTTTTTTAGGTCCGATTTTGAAAATGTGTACATGCCTGGCCGATTTTGAGCGATGCATTAAGCATTCCTCAAATTCGAAGACAATCAGCAGTTGACAACATGTGCAGATGGTTAACCCTGCTATAATGTACAATTTCCTACTGGGGTTAAATTAACAGAGAATGAAATTGCGAGGGCGCAAAGCAGACGACAAAAATGGGCGCACAGAACCGCAACCAAGTCTTGTTAGGAGCCATGAGCAAAAGTGATGAGAGCACAATGCAAACGTAGATAATGCAAAAGCTTACATACATATCTTTTCTATTGCGATCTCTTATAAATTTGCGATCTCTTCTAAATACACTAGTTTGTGTGTGTGCTCATTTTGTTTTATTGCTTTTCGCCTATTGGTCCAAATAAAAATATCTTGTGTACAAATTCGTCTACTGATCGTGTACCTCCTATATATTCTGTGCGCCGGCTTTTGAGTCCGCTCTCGGACCTGCGCAACTTTGTTCTGAGTAACTTTGGTTTAGTTAATGTTATGCGGCGAGCTTATTCCCTTAAATCGTTTAGTATTGTTATGTCCTTTTCCATTCAAAAATTATTTCAATCAAAATTGCATGAGTCTGCTCTGCTGCAATAAAAAAATAATCGCCTCCTGCAGAAGATTAAACCCATATTATTTGTGAAATTGACTACTTGGGTCAAACAAACACAGAGTTAAGTTGTGAGGGCGACAATAAACGGCACTCAGAAAGTAGAGCGGACCACTGAGCAATAAGCAGCAACCAAATATCGTGACCGCGATATGCATGGTAAGTATGCAGATAACAATAAGCGTACACACACTCAAACAAATTTATGCAGAGAGAATCGCCAAATATGTACAAAAGTATGTGTATATGAGTGCATGTGCATTATCTACGTATGAATCACGCTCTCTCGAATTATTCTTGCTGTTTATCGCTCCAAACAGAATAAGCTTGTCGACGGGTCGACGTACAGACATTCAGTAAGGGGAATTCGTAGAGAATCATAATAAGTTTGTAGATAGCGCAAGCGAACACACACCCGAACTCATATAATCTCCTGATATGTATGTATGCAGAAGTGTCTGTGTATATGCATGCTTAAACATTATCTACTTACACATCGCGCTCTCGCGACTTGCTAATTTTTCTGAGCGCCGTTTTTTGATCAGATGTGCGAACACACACCCAAACAAGTGTATGCAGATAGAGTCGGAAGATATGTACATATGTGTATATTCATGCTTATGCATTATCTACTTATGCATAGGTCTCTTCAGCACATTTTGGTTGGTGCTCAATGCTCTAAACAACACTTGCTGTATTTTCTGTGCGCTGTTTATTTTTTTTTTTGCGTTCGATTTACATTTGTGCATTTTAATTGTGTTAGTTTGACTTCAGTTGTGAATGTGACATGGTGCGAAATTAGAAATTAAAGCTGGCTCAAGACACAATCAGTTTCTAGTTAGGTATAGTTAAAATTCTTGAAGGTGGTTGAGATTAAGTCGCCCAATTTCTAAATGAAATGTGTGAACACAGGTAAAGCAAGTCAATTATTACACAAATCAAGTGAAAAACTCAAGTTCAAAGTCGAAAAACGGCAAAGGCTACGAAAAGACGGACTTACACAAAAAAAAATCAATGAATATAAAAAAATATCAATTAATCTATTTAATATTTTGTTTGAAGAATTAAAAGTTAGTTCCCATAATATGCATAAGTTCTATTATTCAATTTCAAAAGAGTTCTCGCATAAGAAACAAACCCTTTACCAAATATAAGCTTGTTTGAAATAAGCTTAAGCAAGGTACAATGAGACACATGCTTTAACTCTAGACGGCCCTTTAGTCTAGGTTCTTTTGCCAGTACATGTCGTAACACCAGGCCCACTCGCCTTGTCCTCTGCCTCTTTCCATAGATGGCTTTGTTGGCCCGCCAACTAATATGCCAGCTGTTACGGACCGAACTCTTGCTTTCAATGCATCAATTATGCAGTAGGAAATGGCAAGTGGAAACAACTACAACAGGGGGCAGTGGGGCAAACACCAGCAAAAACCAGTTTGGTGGCTTGTTATCAAATTTGACACCAGAGCAGACCAGAGCAGAGCGGAGCATAACAGGGCGGGGCGGGGCGTTGCCAAAAGCCCACGAGAGTAAAGTAAACGCCCTGAAGCGTACCAAAAACGCTAACAAACACACAAAGATACACAGACACACATTTACCACAAATGCAAACAGGGCAAAGTTGTGCAGACGAAACACCAGAGAGGTGCGGGGCAGCAAAGTGCACAGACGGGCGCACATATGACGTATACGTAATATTAGATTTGCATGCGAAATGCCATTAATGTCAGTTATCAGCAGCTGGAGCAGGAGTAGGAGCAGGAGCAAGAGCATAACGAGATGCCAACTTGGACAGCACAGATTTGTCCACCGGATTCCCTTCTACCCTGAACCCTCACATCTACCCCTTTTTTGTGGCCCTGTGTCTTTTCTGTGGTCATTTGCCGAGCTTTATAAGCACACTCAGAGAAAAAAACCAAAATATAAATTCTTGTGTAGCTGAGCTGGAATTTAAGGCGTAATGTAGCTTAAATTCAAAGTACATTTTGTTCGTGAATATTTAAAAAACAAATATATATTTTGCTTAATTTAATATTTGATTCGCAGTGAAGACAGGAACAGTCTTGATTCAAGTCAAAAATACTTTTACTGAATAATTTATATATTTGACCAATACGGGCTTAAATAAGTTCTTAAAATATATATTAGGTGCTTAGCCTTTGACATCTTTAGCTTGAATTGAGCACACATTTCTACAAGCTTTTTCTCTGAGTGTATCGTTTTATATGACAATTTGTCGAGGGATTTGGCATGAGAACTGTATGGACATGTCTCACTCATGTCGTTATCAGTAACACACACACACGCACACTTACACACACATGTCAAATTGTCGCTGATGAAAATTAAACGGAAATTTACGCAGAGCCTGAAGTATGCAACGTTCGCGTGCAGATTGGCCTAATAAACTGCACAACCGCAACGGAAATTTGCAAGCGTCTGGCAAACACACAACACATCATATCACACCACACACACACACACACACACCACACACACACTCGTATATACCACTGAAACACCAAGAGCCTTGTGGCCAACTGTGTTGGTCAAAATGTTCTGGCAATTGGGGCAGCTTGTGGTCGGCTTTAGCAGTGAAATAATCTGCATAAATGCATCCACAATAAATTAATTAATTGTTTATACTAAGTAAAACGCGTTAATACGGTGGCTTTTGCTTAAATAAATATGTTGCTCTTAAACATACGAGCAATTCATTTAAAATTTATTAAATGCTTTTAATAGCTCATTCATTTGTCATTGTGTGCTCAAAGCATGTCCTCTTATAAACATCAGGCGAAATAGTAATTTATGCTATACAGAAGCCGTTAAAGCCTTACAAGGTTTGTTTTCAGTTTAATTGCTTTTCTGAAAGTTGGCCTGAAAGAAACTCAACCAGCAAAGTTGTATACAATAGAGTTAAGATAAAATATTTCTCTGTTAAGGCATGGCGGAGAGCTAATTGTATCAATTAATTCTCTAAAAGCATGCACTCATAATTTAGGTGTTCCGCTTTGCTTTGCATTGATCATCAATCATCATCAGTCAGTCATCAGTCATCATCGTCGGACAGCCAGACGGTCGTTTAATCAATAATTTAGTGCATAAAACAACCGGTCAATCGGGCAGGATAAACAACTTTATAGAGATAGATTGAGAAATCTATTTTGCTAAACACAGATTTGTCTACATTTTGAAGCTTAACACATATTAAAATTTAATATATTTTTTTATTTTTTTTTCTTATCAATATTTATTAAATTTTTATGTTAAAATAGTCGTTGCACAACACTTAGTCTTTCTAATTGATTATTTTTCGTTACCTTCAATCACCACAAAACTCACTGTGAAATCACAGTTACTTTCTCCGCACAACAGAGCTCGCTTGTCAACTCATAAATACATTTGCAAACGCCGCAGCATAGCCACACACAATTTGGTCATATTAACACACACACACCAAACCACAAACACACCTGCCCACACACACATACCAAAACCAACAGCAAAATCTAATCACATTTTTCGTTTTGGCCATGCAATTACTCACAGATCCACCAAATCGGAGAAAATGTATCCCTCGATGCTGAGCCGCGGCGGGGATGTGGAAATCGAGCCCTACTACTGCCTGCCCGTGGGCACCAATGGGGTGCTCAGCGCCCAAATGGCCGCCGCTGTGGCCCAGGCCCAGGCACAGGCGCAGGCTCAAGCCCAGGCACAGGCGGGCAATGTGGCCAGCAATGCGGCTGCCGTGGCCTGGAGCCAGCCCACCTCGCCCACGCCCCTCAGTCGCGGCCCCTTTGCGTCAGCTGCGTCTGCGCTGTCGCCCACACACGGCACGGCGGCAGCGGCGCTGGCAGCGGTGGCAGCAGCTGCAGCGGGATCCGGACACGGCGCCGGCAGCAACGCATCGCATCGTCTGACATATCCCAAAAAGAATGATGAAGGTGAGTTTGAATTGGAGTTCATGTACAGTGAAGGCTCGCCAGAGCGAACTCAGTTTTTGGTTGCACAGAAGTCTAGTTTAGTCTAGAATTTATTTTGTTTTATTTATAAAGTACGTTTTTTTTAATTAAAAACAAAATAATTGTAGATAAAATAGAATTAGACAAAGAAAGCCATTAATTTTTTAATTAAGAAAACAACGTAAGTGAAAAAAATGGACAAAAAGATACAAACACAGAAATCTACAAGAAAATATCTGTTTTATTTGATCAATTATTTATTTCTTCTATATTCTTAGATTTATATATATATATATATATATATATAAGAAATGAGTCACAATTGTCGATTTTATCAAAATAAGTTTTATTTGTGTAGCTTTCACTGTATATATATCTATCGCTATAGATAGGATAAATACTAAATTCTCCACCTCTCTACCCCTTGCAGTTCATGGCAGCGCCGCCTCGCTGCTGTCGGGCGGCAGCTCGTTGTACGGCTCGGCAGAGGAGCGACAGGCGCATGAGATACGCCGCTTGAAGCGCGAACTGCAGGATGCACGAGAACAGGTGCTCAGCCTGAGCAGCCAGCTGTCAACCAATGTGAGTATATAACAAATGCCAAGTTTAACTATGAGATGCGAATACAGTTGAGTGCATTTCAACTGTCGTTCAAAGCTAATCCAATGTTCAGTTTAGCGAAAGATGAATGAATATATAAAACGTTTTTCTTAAACGGGTTAGCAAGTATGCTAGGCTTAAATATATCTTTTAATCAGACTTGTATATGCAATACACCTTGTATATAGATTAAGATGTACCGAAAGATTCTCCCCCTCTAAATCAATTGTGCTCCCATTTCGAAGTTTTTCCTATTAAGTGCCTAGTGAGTGCCATAACATGAAGAGACAAGAGCTATTCGTAATAGTTAATGAGAAACTCATAATCCTCGTTTTACTTAAATTAAATCAGTTCTTACAATTAATATTGCTTAAATTTTTGTAGACTTTTTCCCCTTTTTGATTCGTGCTCTGATAGCTTATGGAAGCTTTTCGATATTCTTAAAAAACTCTTCGAATCTTTTATAATAAATAAATTTCATGAATTGAATTGAATTGAATTGAATAGAACGAAAATTTGAAATTGACTTCAATATTCTTGAAGGTACGAATTCCACGAATGTTCCACAAACATTTTTGATTGAAATTAAAGTTTTCCCTTTTCTTTTTAATGGAATTGAGAACCAAGCAAAATATATTTTCTTCTGCATAAATCGCTTTATTCCCTTAAATCCACGCAGCTTTCTTATGGTCTCCTTGCTCAACTATGAATAATTTCACAGCACATATTTTACAACACGTTTACAACACTTTTACAACACTGTCGCAAACTCGGGCAATTGCCATGGGGCACATTCATCTGCTGCGGCGGCTGCTGCTGCTGCTGTTGCTCTCGTAAAAAGGCTGCAACATTTGGCGGCAGCTGCTGTTGCAACATTTTGCGCATTTCCATTGACTACTTTCGGGCATGCCTCAAGAATGCGATTGCCGACGTTGAAAAGGGCTGTAACAATGTTGCGGCTGCTGCGCCTCTGAATATATGTACTTTCAATTGCTGCAGTACGGCTCACGTGTAGTTCTCGCTCCGCCTCGTCTCACCTGCGCTTGCCCCGCCCCCCATTCCCCACCATCCCGTTATACGCCTTATCGACTGCTGCAACTGTTGTCGCACTTCAGAATTCATTCGCTTCGCTTATCGGCGCCGCAGTCGAGTCGCATTTTTGTCAGCGCAACTTTTACGCCAAGTTGCCTCGCGTCATATTCCCCGAGACGATGTCTCACTGTCTGCCACACCCTTTACTCTCTCCCCTCTCTCTCTCTCACTCTCTTTCTCTCTTGCGCCTTTCTCCTACTGTCGCAGTGTGTGTCTCAAGTTGTCAACAAAAGTCACGCAAAAGTCTGATAAACTTTCAAAGCAGTCAGACAAATGTACTGCAAGCATGGGCATGTAGAGCAGGGAGAGGTTGGCGGGGCGGGGCGGGCTTTGCAGAGTTTTGCCTACTTTCGGGCGGGCGGAAAATTGTCCTCATATGAGCACAAGTTGATTTTATTGTAGTTTTTCTTGAATGCGCTCATATCTCAAATAACTCGTCAACAATTTTCAGGCTCAAATGATATAAACTTTAAATTGCATTTCATCAGGCAGATGGCAAGGGGAAGTGGAAGGGGGTTTCACCAATTTTCTTTTATTTAACGTCTTGCTACATCGTAAAGTATTTTATGGCCTTCCCGTTTCCCTCCGGCCACCCCGCCCACCTTTCACCAACACACGGCTATCAAATTTATCGAGGCCAGCCAAGCAGCCAGCCAGACACACTATTAGACATTTCTCCAGACAACATAAATCTGTCCCGACATGGCTATAAGGTGTGTAGTTTTGTGGGAGCAGCGGGTGGGCCTAGTCTCAAGGTCAAGGCGTACGTGTAAATTGCTTGGTGGATGCCATTTGATGGATTCTTGATGTGAAATTCCTTTTTTGTGGGCTCAATATTGGTTGAAAGTTGCTCAGGCAATTGCCAATCATGGTTAAATGTTGCCAGACATGCTTAAAGTTTGCCAGAAATTGTTGAAGGTTGCCATATGCAATTATACTTACATACATATTTATATGAAAGCCCAAAGCTCCAATTTGTAGAGTAGCTCAGAGATAAACTGAAGGAATATCTGATCGGGGCAGCTGTTCACGGAGTAGCTCAGAGATGGACTGAAATCATTCTTTATATTATTTTATGGATTACAAGTTAAGAGAGTAGCTCAGAGATAGAGATTATTCTATAAATTACAGGGTATCTCTTCACAGAGTAACTCAGGGGTACAATAATACAACCCGTTATATGTTTTAAGTTCCAGGGCACATCTCAGAGATGGTCTAAAGCAATTGTTTGGATTCTTAAAAGAATTTCCTACGTTTCAAAAGCATTTGCCTGAGCTTAGTTTTTCATTCGATTAATTCGTGGCGCGTGCGAATGCAATCGATAGACTTAAGAGAATATCTCAAAATAGGAATTCGATCATAGAAATCATGACACATTGCCACGCCTGCATAGTGGGCGGGCAGCTGTTTATAGTTAACTGTGTGCATGTGAAGCAAAGAATGGCAGTAAAAAATGCGTTTTTCCGTTTGGCTGTGACTCGGACAAAGTCAAGAAAAAGAAAATAATTGCAATGTAGTTATGTCTGGATGCCATTTGCGCTTATTATGGCATTGCTAGAGGGGCGTTAGGGGGAGGGCAACAGAGCGAGGCATCTGCTTGATATGTAGCTGGGAATTTATGTGGGTTGCCTCAAAGTGGGTCGACTGTGTTGCAGCTACACATGAGCTTGAGAAACAGTTGACTGAGAGTCTCGTCAAGAGTGCGTAACGCTACGAGGAAACCTTATTAAAGACTAAGACCAAAGTGAGCTAGGTTTTCATTGAATTAAATACTTTAACAAAACTCTTTTAACGGACACTCCCATTAGGCGGACAAGCCTCTTGAGTAGGAGATATGTCCGCAAACCTCTGCGAATCTGGCCTTGCCCCTTCATTAGCCAGTAAACCCTGATAAGTGCATACAAATTCTGATTGTTCAAAAACTATTTTGATTTGCTCTAAAATTTCGCTAACTAAATTCTGCTTCTTGCCTTTATTTTCTACAACTTGTGAGCTACGTTCTCCAAAAACATCTAAATACAACAAATATTTTTATTATTTGTAAATTTCAATAGCTTTTATTCGTATTTGCACCCGTTTTGCACTCTTGATAAATATGAATACAATAATTTGTTTTATTTTCTGCAACATTTCGCTGCTTGAATGAATTCATTATTAATTCTTTTACAACTAGTTAGCTGCACTTTTCCATAAATATATTTTTATTGCCAGCAAAAGTTGAAGTCAAACATAAAATTGACATAAAATTCTGCTGCTGCTGCTGCTGCTGCTGCTGTGGCAGGTTGAACAACAACAATAGCAACTACTTTTTTATCTCTCAATTTAATTAAGCGCCCAAATGGTTTGGTGGGCGTGGCAGAAACTTTTTGCCAACTTGGTTAACTTGAGGCAATTGCAAGCGTCGTCTGTTGCCGCATTAAAAACTTCAAATGTTGCACAATTGCAACTTTTTTGCCATTTGAGCAGACTTGAGAAGAGTCAAGACTAAAAGCCGATTGTTTTTAATGCAATCACAGTGCCACGCCCCATTTTGTTTGAATTAAAAAACTTTTGTAATGTGCCCATGCGACGCTTTCCCCTGTAATTGTGTGTCCCTGCCCTCCCCAACCCTGGCCGAAGGTTCGATTGTGTTGGCGCTTAATTAATTTCCGCTGTGAGTTATAACGTCATAAATGCCAATTCGTCTGCCACACAGCTACCCCAACTCGCCCCCCCCCCCCCCTTTGCCCCTCCCCTTAGTCGTCAGCAGTTTTGCGGCATATTATTTGCTATTGGCCGTTTTTATTGACAGACATCTACGCAATTTCACTTTGCGGTCGCAAAAAAGCAGTTGCAGGGAAGCTGAGCAGACTCCCTGAGCTGAAAGCTCTGTACCCAAGTATACCCCACATCCCCAGCTTTATAGTGCCCCCCACCAGCTGCCTTCCCTTGTTGCCCCTTTGTCTGGTTTGAATTGCGTTCGCTATGTCAGTTTTTTTATGCTCTTCTCTGGCAGCAGATGCAGTTTATAAAGTTTTTCAAATGCATTAAAAACATATATATATATATGTGTGTGAAGGAATCTCGCTCTGAAAGCGGTTGGGAAATGAAAAAAGCTGTAGAAATAAGTCAAATAGGAACTAAGCTAGTTTGGAATACAGCAGAAAGTTAAATCGACTTTGAACATATGCTTCATATATAAGTTTATGCATGCGTATATAATATTTCAGATGAAGACATCATATGAATTGTACAGAACCTTAATGCTGCTCTGATGTGCCAATTTTCACTTAAATGCCAACTGTGAAACGCATATCAGATTTTGATTAGGTGCATATATTGTGGCCTTTACAACAAGTGGTTTAGCTCACAGCTTTAATCGAACATAATTTATTTCTTCTTGATTTATATGAAATTCATTTAATTCATTTAATTACAGTCCACACATCCCGAATCTAATAGATGTTTGCAGGTGCATTTAAATTTAATAATTCTTGAAGATAGATTTTGCTTAGCTTGAAAATAGTTTATCTTTTTCTGATATACATCTGCCTAACATTCCGACAGACAACGTCACTTTAGTCTTACATAATTCTTAAAATCGATTTAATTCTTTGATTTATCTTTTGCATTCACACACACACACAACCCAAACACACAAATAACTCCAAAAATGAACTTTCAACTTCTGCGTCCTCCCCTCTATTTATCGCAGGGCTTACGCCCTTGTCTGTTATCAGGCTAAGCTTTATGGCAGCTTATAGTGCACACAACTAACAAAAAAAAGGCTGAAAATAGTGGCAAATCTACGGCATAAAGAAGCTTATGAAACTTCCAACCTACATCAACACAAAAACCTCAATTGCACAATCTTATCACTGGCCATAAATATTAAAGCACAGCTATAACAA